ACGGCCAGGCTAGGCCCCCCCGATCAGCGCAAGGCACACTCCGCCTTACCCCGGAGAGACCAGCCCCACAACACGGGACCCTGCCGCAGCCTCAGCAAGGCTCCGGCCACCGGAGAACACCCACGGAAAGGGGTACCCAGGGCACCCACAGCTCCACACACATACTCGGCCGCTACCGCAGAGAGGACGAGTTAACTCTACCCGGCAGAACTCCCTCCCCCCTCCCGTTGCTTTCCACTCCAGACGCCCGCCATCTTCCCCACCTCGCCCCCGCCTCAGGCGCCGCCGGGGGAAGGGCGCCAAGGGGCCGCCCGCCCCCTCAGCCTCGCGCCGCCTCGCGCCACCTCCCCCACCCCACCTGCCGACTGCCTCCGAAAGCAACCGCCCCGCCCCGCGCCGCAACGGCCGCCACTCGAGGCGGTAGCTCGGCTCCTCATTGGCCCCTCGGCCCGCCCGTCAGCCGCCGCTCGTGAAGGGGCGTCGGAGGGCGGGGCCGGGTGGCGCCGCGCAGCCCTGTCAGCGGGAGCGGGGAGAGGAAGCGGCGGCGGCGGGGGGTGCGGCGGGCGGTTGGCGGCGATGTGAGCGCTGCATCTCTCCTCACTGCTTCTTCAGGCTCTTTTTCTCCGGAGTTTTTCACACGGCCGCCCCCTCCCCTCGGTTTTTTTTTTTCTTCTATAGAAATATACCTGTCTGTAAACACACGCCTACACTGCTTTTTGAGGTTTAGTGGTTTGGTTTTTTCGGAGGGTGCTCTTTTTCCCGCAGAGGCCAAATACTCGATCCGGCGGAGCGTGTACCTTGGGTAGCAGGGCAGAGCCCCGCGGCCAGGGGCTCCCTCAGGCACCTCGCTCCGTCTCGCCCGCCGGTGCCACCCCCGCAGCGCCATGGATCACCAACCCAAGTTCTTCGAGAACCTGTCGGGCACCGGGAAGGCCATCGGGGTGCTGACCAGCGGCGGCGATGCCCAAGGTACCTGCTCACGCTGTTCCCTCCGGGAGCGTGTTGGGGGGAGGAGGGGAAGGAGAGGCAGAACATGAGGGAATGTGTGTGTGTGTCTGGAGGAAACTGCGGGCGCGGTGGGGAATGGGGGCAGCGGAAAGGGTGAGGAGCCCCTCGGGGGATGGCATGAGGGAGGCAGGAGGGCGAAGGGCCTCCCAGGCGGGCAGGGCGCCCATGCGGGAGGCTGGGGAAGGAGCCGGTGGGTGTAGCAGCGCCCGCCAGAAGGGAGGAGGAAGCACGGGCTGCCCCGGGGGTGGCTGCGGGAAGCCGCGCCGCTGAGGGGCACATGGCAGTGGAGAGAGAGAGGGCGTCTGGGAGCGGGCCACACCAGATCGCCGTGATTCTCGGGTTCCTCTTTCTGTGCTGGCCTTCGAGCTGTTTCTGTTACTATAATCATTTAAAAGAGAAACAATTTTTGCGAGGCCCGGGCGCTCAAGCTGCGAATATACCCTCATCCTCCCTCCCTTTCTCGTCACGTTTCCTCGGAGCCTGCCTTGGCAGGGAAGAGGGTAGAAACGCTCCAGTAACTTTTTACCACCAAAATGTCTTCGCTGCTCGGGGGATGGTGGGTAGAGGAGAGTGAGGAGGGAGGGTGGATGGCTGCGGAGAGAGGGGGAGGAGGTCGTGCTGCCTTGCACGGCGGGTGGGAGGGAGGCTGTCTGCGCTGCTGGGGCTCTGCCAGCCCTCGCCTCATCTGCTTTTCACTTCGTTTTGGCACCAGGAACACTTCTGTGTTCCTACCCATGGTTTAGAAAGCTCACATGGTAGTTTACTCTCTAGCTCCATAGGAGAATGTTGGAAACGTGTTTCACCTCCTAAATCCCTGGTATAGAGGGAGTCCTGGCTACAGGACAGGATGAACAAAAGACCTATAGACTTTAAGAGGGAAGAAAAGAAAAGACACTTTAAAGTGTATGAAAACATGACTTCATGACTATATCTATTGTGATCATTTTTCCTTTTCTACCAGAAAATTTCATACATATTAATAGTTGGAAGTTTCAGTTAATCAAGATTTCAAATATGCAATGCTCCATGCTGTTTGAGTGGACCCTTGCTCTGCTTTTGCCCGAGAGTTGTTTAGTGGTGATTGCTTTTTACCTCCTTCACTTAAATTATGATTATTTTTATTTAGAGCGTCTCTAAAGTCCTTTTACTTGAAGAAACGGCTCTCATTCGTGTTTGTGAAGGAAATAGAGAAGGAGGGGGGAAAAAAGCGCCCTTCTTTGGTTGTTGTGCGGCTCGGTGGTTTAATGAGCATTTTTCTCAGCTTTTTATGCGGGGACCCGCGACTGGGGCGTTCTGTCCGGTGTCCCGGGGGGCGAGGGGGTGCAGGCGGCCGCCTCTCCCTCCTGCCCCGGCTCTCCGTGGAGTGGCAACGTGCGTGGACCGGTGTCTCCGCGCTCCCTCCCGCCGCCGCTGTGTACGTGATCCGCTGCGAGTCGCTGCAGATTCCGCCTCTTTGCGTCATCTGAGCCGGGAGAAGCATCCTCCCTCCCTCCCGCCCTCTGCCCGCTGGAATAACGGGGAGCCCCGGGGTTTACCTGGGATTATCTGAAACTCTTTCTATTCAGGGGTGGGAGGGATTTCATACCAATCTGAGAGGAAAATGTTGTGGTTTCAGAGAAAATGCAAGTTGATGCCAGTAAATGGCTTCTCTTTCGCCTCTCGCTTGGGTTACACTTGTTCAAGTCTTATCCACAGTTTGCTGTCAGTGCCATCAATTTCACTGCTAAATGATCCTAGGAGGGACTGCGAATCTAGGCATCTCTGTTTCAATAGTCTGGTTGCCAAATCGCCATTTTAATTTTAAAAGTGTGCCAGGGCATTCCCTCGAGCAGCAGCAGTGTGTTCAAGGGGCTGAGCCCTGCTGCCTGCTTCCGCGTGGCTGGACATTATATAATGCAACAGCAGATGTACCTCTTTATAAAAAGTATTAATCTGCTCTTGCCACTGTGTGAATTTAGGCTTCATTATCTGTCAGACTGCAACTGTAGCGTGTTTACATTGAGGCGTAAAAAAGTAACAGCCTGTGAAAGTTCCTGTCTGAGGAGTGAGGTTGTCACAAAGACCAAACAAAGTAAACTGGATGCCTTCCAAGTCGTTTTGTAGGCAGCATTGTCCTAACTTAGAAGAACAAGGGAAAAAAAAAAACAACCCACAACAAACCAACATTTTAGAACTTGACCGTTTCAACTGAATTACACAATGCCGTTGAGGTTCATAACCCTATACTGTCTTGGTAACATTATAGATGTGTAAAATATGCAACCTCAGGTCTGTTGGCACGCTGGCTTAGGAGTTAAAACAAGGGACAGCATGAGTCATGCCCTGTCAAGGTCATTTGCCTTCTGTAGGGCAAATATACAAGAGAAGTGAAGTTGTGAAGTATAAGCAGAAAGAAATACGCTGCTATTACTTCAGAGCTGGTCAAAAATATATGCTCAAGCAAACTGTGGGTGAGGCAAAACTACTAGCTCTGAAGTGGGCAAAAAAAGTACTTATTTATTCCAGTCTCCTGTTTTTTTGTTTGTTTGGAACACTAGAAATCTTCAGAATATCTGTAATGCAAACTAAACTCACAGGAAATTGAGCGGAAGGAGCACCCATTAGTGTTGCAGTAAATATGTAATCTTCATATCAATAGGTGACTTGATTTATAAATCTTAGCCAAAGCAAAATATGCTTGAAATGATTTTAAAAGTGCCTTTGCTGTTATTGCACTTCTTAATGATTTAGAAGTAGCATGTAAATTGCACAAGCCTTTCTATTTATAGGACATAGTAAGTTTTAAATTACTTCCCCACAATTGTAGTATTTCTTTGCAAGATTTTTTTTTTCTGTTTTTCCTTTTTACTACCTTTGCGATATAGACTATATATATATAGACTATAGAAAGTGTAAATGTCATACTGGAACTATTATGGTCTAGTCATCATATTTTAAACACAGGTATATTCTTTTGTTTGGTGGAGTTGGAGAGTTTTATCAGTGATTTATTTCACAGGAGAAGAGAATTATATTTTGTGCACTTAATGTATGTAAATACTTAATTTAGTAGTCCATCACTTTAGCTAACCAGCTGTTAAATTATTAACTAAAACAAGTACTTTCCACCATAATCACAAGTTCAGAGGCAAAAGATGTTGTGACAACTGATTCTCAAGATTTATGAGTTAGAAGTAGTCCAGAAACTGAGTTAAGTTGTAGTGGTTGCATCTCAGAAAGGTGGATTAATAAATGGGTTTTAAGTCATGCTTCTGTCTTCATTTTGTGGGACTCTCTGGCCATGGCCTGCTTCAGGTTGTGAAGTATACTGGTTATATTTTATGCTGGTTGCCAGTGTTTGCCACAGACCATCTTAGCTGCCATAGGTCACTTATCTTCATCCAGCCTCCAATCAGACTGCTTATTCTTGGGCCATGATAGATATGCTCAACAGCAGGATCAACGTCATCTGAAAGCTTCTGACAGAAGGTGATTGTGTACTGTTCGGGAATAATGTGTTTGTGGCTACTTTGAGGTGTTGCCCAATTTACTGGCTCAAGATTATAATCTTTGAATGTGATGACATTATTTTTGAGATAAACTCTTGAGTTTAATATTGTGGAAGACAGCATAAGTAAGGAATTTAGGAATTACATGGTAATGGTCTGGAATATCATAGACCATGACTGGTGAAGTAAAGATCTACACATCTCTATGTTTGAACGTTACAGGCTAGAAGTACATTACAGTGTAGAAGTACTGCTCTTGTCCTGGTACTTTTCAGTGGCAAAATTTCTTCTTCCAGTGTGCAAACAAAGAAACTTCCGTACCTTGAGCAAATATTGATCTTTGAAATAGCTAAAAAAACCCCTATAGCCTCTTAGATTCAAGAGTTTTGGAATACTACAGACCATGACTGTGGAAGCAAACATCTACATACTTGTGTTCCTCGGAAGCATTACAGGCTTCTGAGGAACATCAGAACACGTATGTAATATGGTAGGGCAGATGTGCTAATCTTGTCCTGCTAGCATATGGAGGAAGAAGAAATTTTGCCACTGAACAATCAAAATAAAATAAATAAATACCTGTGTGCTGTACCCTCCCCCCCTTATTGAAGAAGGAGATAAGTATGTAGTATAGATAGGATAATATTGTATATATTTGTGCAGTAGAATGTTCTGATCTAATACAGTGTTACTGTTTAGAAAAATTTCATAGTATTTTCTTCAGGTACCTAGAATCATTATTGTGATTACATGCAATAAAATCTGTTATGTAATTAAAAGTAAATGGCACACACCCAAATTGTTTTCTTAACGATTTGTTCAGGTCTTGTATTTGACTGCTTCTCATCTTTCCTTTTGAGGATTATAAGATCTTGCATCCTTACTGATACATTTACATACTCGAATAAAGTCTTTCTGTTTGGTAATATTTAGATATTTTCCTTAGTTTGTGTGTTTTGCTATATAGTCTTTTAAGTCTGAATCTTTGTTCAGGGTAGCACTTAAACATATGTGCTAAGTCATTAAGCATGCATTAAAGCCAATGTTTATCTTCAAAATTCGTGGTGCTTAAGTATTTCTTGATGCTTGTCCAAGACGCATAGTTTTGATTTTTCTTTTATATGGCTAGCATTACAGTTATTTATTTAAAGGCCTGACTAGCTGACTAAAGTGAGGAAAACTTGGCTTAAACACAAAATAGTGTTTTAATTTTACTCGGAGTCCTCTGTTGTAGTGGTGCAGAGGGGAACAAGATGTAGGTATGGGAGAAAAATACTATTTTGGAGAAGGGAGTGCCTTTAAAATAACTTAAAGATTTCTGCAGTATTGTTTGTAACCCTGCTATGAAAATTATTGCCTTCAAAGACAATTGAATAGACGGTATCAAGAAGGACAGTAAATTATCAACTCTTAAATTAATTTCAGATAATATGTGAAGCCATGTAAATAGTTGCAGATTTAATCTTTGCTGAGTCCAAAAGAAAAAAATAAATCTTTACCTCTGTCAAAGGCAAAAGGAAGTGGTAATTCAAAAAGATTTTAAAAAATTCTCATGTTATAAAAAAATACTAGTTCTACTGGTGGCTTTCTTTTGAAGATGCTATTCTAATCCTATATGTATATCAGGCTATATTTATTATTCAGGACTAACCCGGTAAATCTCTTTTTCAGTAATAAGCATATAATTACATTTCATAGTTATTATGGTAATTCACAAATACCATTGTAAGACTCCACAAATAATCAAATACAGCAACATTTTGTTAGACAAGTTCCACGGAGGCTTCATGAAATATGAAATAGCAGTGTATTCAGATTCAGATAGCGGACATGTAAAAGTCTAAAGCTTCAGTGTTTTAACTGTATTTTTAAAGTATCAAATTGTAACACCCTTAAGTCTTTACCCCTTCTGAAATGTAACCCACTTCTTTAGGAGACTGCCAATAAGCACCTAAGCCCCTTTTCTATATATAAAGATAAAATATACATTGCCAAATAATAATAAAATTTATGTTGCATAAACTTACAAAGTTACAGTGATGGTACTGAGAAGATGCTTTCTGTCTCTAGTTTGTGTTTGGGTTTTTTTTTTCCCCCCTGGCTTTTGCCCTTTCTTACAGGTAAATTATGAATTTTACTGATTATTCATGTAATACACACAGAAATTGGAAAGTATGCACTGAGAAAGTATGTGGCTGCATTATGAATATATTCACATGGAAAGAATTAGTGGATTTGTCATTTCGAGAAATAAATGCTTATATTTGACGCCGGTTTAGAAGAAGTGTGAACATTAAGCCAAATCAACATTTGTAGGCTAATTTATACATAATGAAGGCATGGCAGATCTGGAGAATTTGTAATGAGAACAGAGTAACTACCCTTCTTTAAAATATTCTGATACGTGCATAGGATACATGACCAATAAAGCAGAAATGTGAGCAAGAAACAGATAAAAGACAAGTATGTGGCTTTGCTAGACATGAATGTTTATGTTTAACATCTTTCTATTTTATTAATATTTATTTTTGCTGGCAAAACTATTCTGCTTTAGCCTGTTTGGATCACAGATGCTTTTTCTTTATTCTAATTAGATATTTGGAATACAGAGGCTAGTACTGAACATATACTGGATACCTGAAACAGTCTTAAGTGTGTTCTTTTTTTTTTTCCTCTGATGTCAAATGGGAGAAGTGATAAAACTGAACTTCAAGAACAGAAGGTTCTTAAAAGGACAGTTCTGAGTAATCTGCACCTGGTGAAGATGAACTTTTCCCCTTCAGAAAATGAACCTTTTAGCTGCTCTTCTAGAATTCTGCAGTCAAATGGATAATACAAAAAGGTGGATTTGTCTCTAAAATAACCCCTCCACAAACAAACCCAAACAAACAATGATAACATTCCCCCCAAAAAAACACCAAACAAACTCCAAACCTCAAAACCCAAATTACCAAAAAACCTCTCTACCAACAAAACAACAACAAAAAACCCAAACCTCCCACACATGTTGTGCATTAATAGAAGCAAGCTGTGGACTTTGAAAGGAGTAGTTTGTGCTTGTGTCTTCCCTGTTTGAGGAAAATGGCAGTGCTGTGAAGAACTACCAGTTTTATAAAGTTAAAGGTCTTTGTCTCAGCTTTCCAGGGGATGTTGTGTGTGAGGGGAATCGGTGGGGGTGTTCCTCAGTGAAACAGTCGTAGTAACAAAAAGAAGTAACTTTGTGTAGTGGGTCTGTTTTAATCTGAGACTTAGTGTGCATGCTAACTTTCTTTTCAGTACAGCCTGTCAGATGAGATTCTTTGCTTTTCTTTGGCATCCTCTGGTTCAATGTCCAAAGCTGTGCTTTTAGCTGTCTTGGCATTTGAGAACTTTTTCCAGCTCTGCCACAAGGCAAGGCTGACTCTGGCTGAGAGAATTCTTGCTGCTATTTCCTAACACAGAATTGATGTGAAAACACCGTTACTCATAATTTTTGTCTTAAGGCTAAGTGACATCTGCACAAACAAAAAGCAACTTTTGATTTTTGGCAAACTTAATTTTTTGTTTTATATTGGGCGGCTTCAGGGACTTTCTGGTATGTTCCTGAGTAATAAATCTTTGAGATCTCAGTCTCGTTCTTGATTCAGATAAGCTGTTACAGCTCAGTATTTTTTCCAGTAATGGTGGATAGTGTAGGAATAGGTCTCTATGGCTCACTGTGTTGTGGGTTTACCCACAAGTTACTGACTTTTTACATCTCCAGATTGACATAAGTGAATGCTTAATGCCTAGCAGCAGAGCTGACAATACTTTGTAATTTTGATATTAAGTGCAACAGATTTGAAGAATCAGTGCTGAATATTTTGTATCATCACGTTTCTGGCATCCTTCTTCAACTGATGTGCCGAGGCTATTTCTTTCACAGTGGCCTAATAACTTCTTCTGTCCTCATGCTTTGCATAATCTCTTGTGTCTGTTTAAGTGGTATGGAAGCAATTAGTTTATTACTTTCTGGATCTTCCTGAGTAATGAGGAAGGTAACACAGTATCTGAAGGGTTATAACAGAAATTCCTGTGATCCATGTAGAGGGACCAGTGGAACTCTTACTGTTGCTCAGGTTGATCCATGTAGACCATGGGACCAGTGGAACTCTTACTGTTGCTCAGGTTGTTTGACCATTGGACTTAAATGGAGGGTTTTAAGCTAGTATGAATTGTCAGATGTCTGTGAGCAGAGAATTCCAATGTGAGGTTGCAATTCTGGGAACCAAAGTGGCATTTAGGCACTTTTCTGTCAAATGATTCCATGCGGCATTTCTTGTGTTAATTTACTGCAACTTCTGTCTTTTTAAGTGGGCACCCGTCCGTGTCAGGAGCTTTGGCTACAATCCCCACAAAATACTGTGCATACATTACTTTGGAAAGCTCCAGAAAAAGAACTGTTCCAATATAATTTCTCCATTGGAGAAACTAAATTTTAACTGGCTGATTATTTTACATTTCAGATAGAAAACTAAGCATTATTGTGAAATGAATTTACTTTCTGGTTTAGTAGCTGTTACTTTTACAATGCTGTTTTACAATCAGCAGCAATTTAATCTCTGGTTAACACACATACTGGCATCCATATAATTATTGTAGCAAAGCAAATAGTTCTACACCCTTCATATTCATGAAGGGTGATTGCACTGTCATTAAGCAAATTTCTGTTTTAATAGATGCTAATCATTGTCTTTGTTTAGGAATGAATTAATGTTTCCTTTTTTTAAACACACTGAAAATTTATAGTATACAGAAAAATCGGATAACCTGTAACAATGTGACTTTGCTTTTTCTTCCCAGGTATGAATGCTGCTGTGCGCGCAGTAGTACGCATGGGAATCTATGTAAAAGCCAAAGTGTATTTTGTTTATGAGGTTAGTTTTTGTTTTATTCATTATGTATTTCTCTTCTGACTATACTTGAGTTTTTGTGGAAAGTTCATGGAGAGTGAATAGTATAAATTAAAAAATGATGTAGATGTCATTACCTTTCATCCTATTAATGTTTTATTTCATATTTTTCATTTTTATGGAAAGTACTTCTTACAAGGTACGTGCTAAAACAATTTCATTTAAAAGTAATTTTTTTAATATATGGAGTTCTTCACGTAAAGCTTGCAAGAAATTTGAAAATACTGAGAAAACCAGAGGTGGTTGTTACCAAGCAGTGAGCTATGTATTTGTGTATTTGTTAGTTTTTTAGGCCAGAATACTGTTCTTTATAAATACCTTCATAAACCTAGTTAAATTACTAATTCTTAACCATTTGACTTTCCCCAAGTTCGTTTTCCTAGGGTATGATAAGGATATGCCATTGCCCTCATATTGCAGATTACCCAACTTGGTTTTGATCAAGAGTACTATCAGGCTGGTGCAAGCTTTCCTCTCTTATAAGTAGAAAGTTGTAAGTGAAAAAACTCGAACAAACAAAAAAGACTCCACCAAAAAACCTGTGTCATCAGTACAGTGTCCAGACATTAGAATTTTGTGGTTGAACTTTATGACTGAGTGTGCATGAGGATTCTTGCATTCTGTAACAATTATTTGATATGAAAAAAACGATGAGACAAGTTTAATGTAAATGCCAAAATGATGCTATCTGTGTATGTCTTATGGGAAAACTAGATTATATTTAGACTTCTGTGTGAAGGAGAGTTTCAGATTTTATAAAATTTGTGGATTAAACAATGCAGTAAATATATTTAGCAAGAAGTCATTCTGTTCACACTGGAATTCCTGTACAACTCCTTAAAAGTTTGAGGTAATTACAAATCATAATAAACATTTGATATAGGGCAAAACTTGGTAGGTTTTAATTACATTAAAATACAAAAATATGGAGTACTAGAATTCATAGAAGTGCTAGAAAGAACTTCAGTTTTAGTTTTGTACATTCAAAATATATGATTTAAAAGGTAGCTATTTGTGCATTTTCTTTCAGTGTCTGCTTATTCCTATAGTTCATTTACTGAAGGGTACCATAGGTTATTGAAATGCAAATAAGCAGAGCATTGTGCTCCAAAATTCTTTTGTACTAGAGTGCTACAGCAAGTAGCTCTGAATACTTAGTGTGTGCTAATTACATGGCCAATCTCTAGAATTCCTTCAGTGTTCAGCTATTTTGCAGGCTTGCTGAAATGGGTCAGACACTTTTCTGGAAATAAGGAGGTTGTGTGTTTTTTTTTTTTTTCCTTTTTCTGTGTTTAAAGGCTAGAACTTGGATATGTTTGTTTTTTTTTTTTTTTTTTGTTATGCTTAACTTTAGAATTACCACCTTTGTAGTTCACCTTACAGTATGTTTACTTTTGTCACCTTTTAAAAACTGTTTTGTATCACAAAGTGCATTCAATGATAAATTTCCAGAGAAACTGGATATTTCTGTTTTTCTGAACATAACTTAAATAGTGAGGTTTTGCTATGTTTCTTTGTTAATTGCTAGTTTGCCAATGTCAAGTCACAGCTATTTCAGAATGAAAATCAATTGTAAACATCATGTCAATGTTTTCGTTCTGAGTTTCCATTATATATTGCCTTTCTATCTTCATTGTAACAGTATAGTAGGAGAAAAATGCATATTTCATTGAATGAACGGGTAATAGCTTTGAAAGAGATCTGGCTTCTAGATTAGTCCATTCAGTTCTGTGTTACAGAAAGGACCCAATGCTGAATTTTTTTCCTCTCAGACTTTGTGTTAATTAAAATATGAAGTCACTTTCACAATGCGTATAAGTACTTAAGCAAAACACTGTTGCAAGCTTTGAAATGAAATGCTACTTAATTTCAGCACTTCAAAATAGGAAACAGATGTAGGGACAAGTGTCATGGAAGGTAAAAAATTTAGGGTAAGCCTTGTCACTAATGATCCCTGTTATAAGCCTCTGCATGATGTATACAGAGAAGACGTACTTTCGTATATACTTAAAGTTATTTAATACTTCTAATAAGGTCTTTCTAAATTAGTGTTTATTAAATGCAGACTTCAGTGTGTTCAGCAATGAGAATAGTATATTTTTAGCCCATATTTTGAGTAGACATTTTAACTAGACACACATGTCAAGGTAAAGTGATACTTGTATTGAAGCTGCTCTGAAAAAGTGAAGAAAAAGCCTGAAATGGCAACATCTGAAAGGTGAAAAATGTTTTCTTATTTGGACCTAAAAATGGAGTTAAAGGTCTCAGCCTTTTCAAGCCTACTTTGCTGCAATTGTCATATGCTTTTTCTCCTGTAATTTTCTCAGTCGTAGGAACTTACTGCACTGAAAACCATCTGTCTTCTACAGTTGAGGCCGAAAGTAGCTCCATATTCTAAGTAAAGCAACAACTCTTGTTTCCTAACTCCATTATGCTTCATTTTGTGATGAGAGAGAAGTTACCAAGATAAATAAGTAAATAAAGATTGACTATGAACTTTGTATAATTTTCTATTTTCTAGACTTTTAAGTCAGGTTTATCAAAGACTAAAGAATGAAACACTTAGCTCTGTGGGCTATTTGAACATACTTGGTTTCCCAAAAGGGAAAAAAAAAAGAAACCCACTTGAAAATTAAACCTATAAAATAGTTTATATAAAAATATAATAAATTATACTTATATAATTTATACAGAAACCTAATTTTATAGCAATAAAATGTAAAGGAAAAACTCGTATCTTAAGGCACATTGATATTAGCACATTTGAAAATTTTGCTATTAATCTTATTCTCTAGTTGCCTAGTTTCATGTTTTTTTCATATTAACATTTTTCAGTATTTAATTTTAGTCACCCTCACTAACTAGCGTCACGTTATTGCTCAAATCTACCCCAATCTGAATTAAAATTTGAATACCTGTGAATTTATTTCACTCATGCAGTGCAAATCTAGGAGATGGAAATACATGTAAAAGTACAAGTACCAGCCTGCTCTAGGAGGCTAGTATAAATTTTTTCACTAATCTGAACTGTTCTCAAAGTTATTCTTCATTTTGGTTTGGGTTTTCTTTTTTTTTTTTTTTTTTAATTGAGAATGAGAAGGAAAAACTGATGCCTGTCACTTACGGCAATTCATTTTAGAATCTGAGGTCTTACATATAATATAATACAAATAACCTGCGCTTTTTCCAGGATTGAAGCACATAGTTCCCAGTGGATGCGTGCTCTTACTACTAAGCTATGGGACTTTTAGATTCTTCATCTTGATTAAGAATCTTTTTCTCAAGAGGCCGGCATTGGAAATGCAATGGTACGGCAGTCATGGATTTCTGTGAGGAAAACTTCATGTCTTTTATGTGGTGGTTTGTGCACTCAGTGATGCTAGTATTTTACGTGGTTGAGCAATAGCTAAAAAACCTCAGTAAGTAAACTTAAATAACTGTTAAAGCCCCAAATGTCTCACGTGTAACATATCAGAAGAGGGCTTGTTCTTTTTTGAAAGCTTTTGTTTGTGGAGCTAAGGCTGGAAGAAAGGTTTGCTGCCTCTGCCACTCCCTCCAGGAGTTTCAGTGTATATGTATGTACCCTGTGAACACATGACCAGCAGAGACTTCCTCTTGTTCATCTTTGAACATTCATTTTTTGGGTAGAGGAAGGAATAAGCATAAAATGGGGTTAGTCTTCAAGTATAGTGCTTGCTGTATTTTTCACAATTTGCTTTTTTCCACTCTTCTCCCATAATTTTAGTACCTTAGTACCCAAGCTGCTATTTTTAGAATCTAAGTAATTTTTAAAAAGGTAAAGTAACAGCTCTCTTCTTTTTAAGGCCTGTATTCACATTTGCCAGTAGTTTTCAGTAACCAAACAATTGTAACAGTGTTGAACCATTTGATAAAATACTTCAAGTTAACTTCCACCTTTGAAATGGATTTCCGAGTCTCCAGGTTAGAATCAGTGATAAATAACTAAAATGATGAATGGAAATCAAGATCATTATTAATACTTCAATTATAATTGGTCATCTTTTTTTTTTCCCTATAGATGTCTAGAAAGCTGTTTTAATTCTATGGCTTTTGTATCTTTTAATGGTATGGAAGAACAGCATGAAAGTTCTAGCTACATTCTTCAGACCTAGCTTACACACGCCACTTACCTAGCAGAACTGAGCTAGGAAAAGCTAATGTAACAGCTGAAATGGAACTGAGTTAGGAAAAGCTAATGTAACAGCTGAAATGGATCAGGCCTGTTCCCAAAGCTCCCTGTCCTTACCTTGTCAGGGGAGGAATTGTTAGTATTATCGCTTGTCTATACAGAGGAAGTAGAACTGAGGTGGACTCCTGACCTGAGTGCACAAGTTCTTTCTGCATTAAAAATGCAGGGTGCAGGAGGTCTAGCTATTAGGTGTTTCAAATCTTACAGACAATTTCAAGTAGTAGTTTGTCCAATTTCCTTTTCCTTTTGTTTTAGTTTTGTTACTAAAATAGAAATTTTCATCTGTGAGTCTCATAAGATGTCTATAATTATATATATTTACAGTATACAGTACTTTCTTGGATCTACTTTGTTTTTCCTCTCAAGTAAAAATGGAAGGTAAATGATTGGAGCAAATATGTGAACTGTATATATTTTTTTGTCAGCTTGGAGTACAGGTTACTAAAGTCAGCATTACAAACTGAGTTAGGATGCAATATCACATTCTTGTTTCAGATTTGTTACTTGTGAATCTGTGTGGTGTTGTAGTTGTCAATAGGAACACAGATAGGAAAAGCTTTCAATCTGTTACTGAGTTGATATAAGGAACATCAGATTCTTTGCTTGAAAAACAAAAAAAAAGGAAGCAAAATTGTGATAACTTAATAATTTCTTAGCTTTCATCAAGCTCAGTTGGATCCACTGGAATGTTTCTGTCTATAGATCTTTGCACTTTATCTGAGAAATCAACTTTAAAACAAACAACAACTATGTAGATTAAGCATTATTTTTTTTCCAACTTGTTCTAGTTTTGAAGGCATTGTATTGTATAAATAATGTCTTAGCTTCAAGTCATTATGTGTATATGTTTGTATACAAGACAGCGTTAGATACATATCAGAGTTATCTGGAGCATGTACATAATATTGAAAAGATCTGTTGAACGACAGAAATTAGAGACAGGTTGTTTTCCACCTAGCTGTTTCTTTACTGTTATTTGATGTTTTATGTAAACTCAATAGCCAAGTCTCACCGAGCAGAAACTGTTAGACTTTCTCCTTGGAATCTGTACTAGAATCCTTGAAAGCTTAATCTGAGTAATTTATACCTTTGCTGAGTCCAGGCTGTCTTGAATATTCTTATTCTATCATGCTAGTGAGGGACTCCAAGTACGATACAGTAATTCATATAATATATATGGCTTTTTAAGCCAGTGTAGGCTTAGTACATTTTGCAGTTACTGCTTACTGGATAAAATCTACATATAGTCTAGGTTGTGCCAAAGTGTCTCCAGTTTATATCAGTTTAGCTGTCTTCTAAACTCTTATATTCGACAGAAATTAGAGACAGGTTGTTTTCCACCTAGCTGTTTCTTTACTGTTATTTGATGTTTTATGTAAACTCAATAGCCAAGTCTCACCGAGCAGAAACTGTTAGACTTTCTCCTTGGAATCTGTACTAGAATCCTTGAAAGCTTAATCTGAGTAATTTATACCTTTGCTGAGTCCAGGCTGTCTTGAATATTCTTATTCTATCATGCTAGTGAGGGACTCCAAGTACGATACAGTAATTCATATAATATATATGGCTTTTTAAGCCAGTGTAGGCTTAGTACATTTTGCAGTTACTGCTTACTGGATAAAATCTACATATAGTCTAGGTTGTGCCAAAGTGTCTCCAGTTTATATCAGTTTAGCTGTCTTCTAAACTCTTATATTTCTAGTTCCACCTGATTTATGACTGAGAACTCTAAAACTAAATATTTACAGTCTTGCAAGAACTTCATACAAAAGAAAATTTAACTGATTGTTCCTCAGCATGATTATCCACATCTAAACATAATCTAAAAATGGAGATGTAAACATGGTTGTTTCTTTTTGGTTTTTTGTTTTTGTTTTTTTGGTTTTTTTTTGTTTTGTTTTGTTTATTTTTGTTTGGGTTTTTTTGATTATTTTTTTTTGTATGTTGGTTTTTTCAGGTGTGGCTGATTATTTTTTTGTATGTTGGTTTTTTCAGGTGTGTTTTTTCCTTAACCTAGCATGTTTTTTTCCCTTTGGATTTAAATGATTGTCAAAAAGTTTAATGGTAACTCCAGTTTTATTCTAGTGTCAGTATCAGTTAAGTATTTCCAGGTGAGAACTTTGCAGTATTTTCTTATTTTTAAGAAAAAATGGTGTTCACGATATCCCCTAATGGAAAAGAATCTGTAATTGTCACTATCTTTCTGCTAGTATTTATGCATAAAGTTAATGAAGCCAGGCATAAGAAAACCCTTCAGCTGCTCCCTGGATAGTTGTCCTTCTTTCAGCTAAGTGTAGTTCTTTCTATACTACAGCATGCATAGGTTTCTGAAGACCATTAGAGTTAAGCTATTAAAGATTTCTTAAATGTATCACTAAAAGCTGTATTTTTCTACTACATTTCTTTCATATTTTATTGTGTGACTGCCTTCAAAAAAGAATGTGGATTATGTGACTTGATTTCTTCTTCCTTTATGAAATTTTTTGTTGTTGTTGCTCTTTATTTTGTTTTGCTTATACCTGCCTTGGGGGAGAAAGTGTACAAAGTGTTATGAAGTCAGATAAAGATCATGACCTTAGATTGAGGTTATGGTTTTAGGAAGCACATTTTATAATGCTTTTCAAAGTTTTTTTGTCTTTGCAGTTTTGCAAAAATACCTGTATATTTATTCCAAGAAAGAAGAAATATGTTGCCATTCTAGTTTATAAGCTCTGTAATCTGTGTAAAGTGTTACTTTTTCTTGAAGTTATCTTTGGAATTGATCTTTTAGGAAGAGGCTTTGTTTGGCTTCTTTTCCCCCTAATGCTATATCTGCTAGAATATTGTTTCATTTAAATTGAGTATGTTTTTATTCTGTGTTTTTGATTACTTAAAGTTGCATTAAAATATACAAGGTGAGTATTACTGCAGCAGAAATGTTACACAATTTTTCAAATCAGACCTCTGAAATACTTTTTCTGTTTCAGGGTTACCAGGGAATGGTTGATGGAGGTGATAATATTGTAGAAGTTTCATGGGAAAGTGTTTCAAGTATCCTGCAAGTGGTAAGTGTTAGGGTGTGAGGAGGGAGACCCAAATCCTCCCTCTTTATACAGGCAACCAAAATTTTCAGTCTGGGCAATCTCTGTAATTTTGCATTCAAATTCTGTGATGACAGAATGACCAGCATGTACCACTTTTAGCAGAGCCTGATTTCTACAATATGGATGTTTGACACTTTCTAAAGATCTTTCTGTGGTCTTCTATTTGGTGCACAAAAATAATCTTGAAAACCTTAGTCCTCCATATTGACAAGCCTATATTTGAGAAAAAAGATATTATAGAGCCAAAATATGAGACAACTGTGTTTTGTAAGACAAGTGTTTTCTTACAAAACCCTGTTGCCGCCTTCTGTAAGTGGATTTAGAACTATAGTAATGGGTGTAATTACAGACTAGTTCTCCAGAGCTCAGATAATAGCAGTGACTTTGCCTGTACGTTTATATTACTACTTTCTGCAAGGTGGCTGTTTGGATCTCCTTACACTTTTCCTCAGCATGGTACTGTTGTTACCTCTTCCAGAGCAGATGCTATGTTTGTCAGGCCGTAGTGCTTGCCAAGCTTTCTGAAAACTACCTCCAGGTGAAGTGTGGGTTTCTTTGGAGCTTTCTGTAAAGCTAATATTATAAACATAAAGGAGTTAGTAGAGAGAAAAATAGATTTTTAATTTTATTTTTAAACAAACAAATGTCCTGGAATACTGTGATGTATTTTGTCCACATATGTTTGGTTTTTTTGGTTGCTGGTGTTTTCTTTTATTTTTTAATCCCTTATCTTTTAGAATCTGTAATCTTGTAATTAAGAGCAAATTAAGATGTCATGGCCAAGGGTTGCTGGTGGGTTTTTTTGTTTTTTAATCCCTGATCTTCTAGAATCTGTAATCTTTTGATTAAGAGCAAATTAAGATGTCATGGCCAAGCCACAGAGGAACATAGGCAGGAACAGGATGTAGGTATCCTATACATGTGTATAGCATACATACATTAGGGCTACAAAGATGTTTAGGGGCCTGGAGCATCTCTCTTATGAGGAGAGGCTGAGGGACTTGTCTTTTTAGTCTGGAGAAGAGAAGACTGAGGGGGTATCTGATCAATGCTTATAAATACTTAAAGGGTGGGTGTCAAGAGGATGGGGCCAATCTTTTTTCAGTGGTGCCCAGGGACAGGACAAGAGGAAATGGGAACAAACTTGAATAGAAGAAGTTCCACCTAAACATGAGGAGGAACATCTTTACTTTGAGGGTGGCAGAGCACTGGGACAGGCTGCCCAAGGAGGTGGTGGTGTCTCCTTCTCTGGAGACATTCAAAACCTGCCTCGACAAGTTCCTGTGCAGCCTGCTCTGGGTGGACCTGCTTTTGCAGGGGGGTTGGACTAGATGATCTCTGAAGGTCGCTTCCAGCTAAAGATGGTAAATCATGTTAGTACAGTCTACAGATCTGAGCTCAAATTTAGATTGGCAAAGATGGTAAATCATACTAGTACAGTCTCTACAGATCTGAGCTCAAATTTAGATTGGCATTGACTGATTTATTATAAGTTAAAATGAAGGAAATGTTTGTACAAAAGTGAGGTAATCATCGCCAGATTTGTTAGCAGGAGAAAAAAGTTTTTGCAGTCTTAGTTTTTTACTGTGACAATAAGTAAGGGAAAAGCTAAACTTGTCTTGAGTGACTGAACAACATAAACATTGAAGATTTGTAAATAACTTCTTTTCAGCAAGATGCCCAGCAGTTTTCAGTGACAGGGCACATCAGTCTTTTTCTGAAAATATTGACTTCCATTTTTGGAGGAAGGTCTTTAAATCATATTATTAAATACAGCAGATAAGTTAATAAAACAGAAAATTTAACACTAGTCTGATCTATACAGCACTAAATGTGGATGCAGTTTTTTCTGTAATTCTGTGGAATGACAATAAATACTAATTTTGAGCTTTAGGGATGCATCTTTTCTGTTATGGTTTATGTATTTCATGATATTAGGGGAAAATGTCATGCCTTGAAGAAAATTCATCTAAATTCTTAACTACTTAGTACTGTATCACTTTTACTATTTCATCACATATAAGTAATAATTAGATAATTAATTGGGATGCTATGAAATTAATCCCAAATCATTTAACATTTTCCTTCAAGAGTAGTTTTTTTTAGTCATTTTTGGTTTTCCCTTTTCTGTGGTGTGTGTACCCACTCTTGAGAATGTTATTTCCTATAAGTTTGATAATTCTTTGATTTTAATAGCTTCTTACTCACTGTGAAATTAAAGATGGAGGTTATGTTACAAAACAACTGTTCATCATTAATTCACCTTAAAAAAACCAACCAACCAAATGAACAAAAAAAAAAAACCCAAAACAAAATGTAAAATACTGGATTGTAAATTTAAATTGTTATTCTTCCTTTTTCTAGGGAGGTAAGAAAATGTGAAATAATGAATTGTAAATTTAAATTGTTATTCTTCCTTTTTCTAGGGAGGTACAGTTATTGGTAGTGCACGCTGCAAATCTTTTCGTACCCGTGAGGGCCGCCTGCAGGCAGCCTTCAACTTGGTTCAGAGAGGAATCACTAATCTTTGTGTGATTGGCGGCGATGGTAGCTTAACTGGTGCCAATCTCTTCCGTGAGGAATGGAGTGGACTTCTGGAAGAACTGGCACAGAAAGGTAAGTTTGTGTTTAGACCATCTAGATTTCTAGGGAAGCTATGTACCCTAATTATACCTACACAAATTATGCCTAGAGGATGTTTCTTAAGTTCAACAATCAAATGCATACATTCTAGGAAACTGCACAGTTCTTCATAAAGTAATAAGTTTTTATTTCTGTACATCCTCTCTTTATATACCGTAAAGGTTCAAAAAGGCCAAATAAGTTTCTGGGCAACTGTACGCCAGTATACAGGTTTTTTGCTGAAACCATTGTGTAGCAAGGAGTTATACACCTTCACTGAACGATGAAGATTGTGAAGCAACTTCTCCTTTTGTTTGTTTTGATCCTGCTGACATCTAGTTTCATTTGGTGTCCTGTAATTTTTGCGTTAGAACAGTGAATGATCAATCCTGCTTCCTCTCTGCTTGCCACTTGAGATTTTACAGCTGTCTTATTTTCCCTTCATCATCTCTTTTTCTAGATGGAAGAGTCCTAGTTTGCTTAGTTGTTCCTTATATGTAAGTTCTATACCTTTGATCATCTTTGTTGCCCTTCTCTGAACCTTTTCCAGTTCTACCATGTCCTTTTTGAGGTGGGGAGGACTACAACTGCACCCAGTATTCAAGATGAGGGCAAACCATGGATCTACACAGTAGTATAATGAACTTTGTTTTGTTCTCTATTCTTTTCCTAATATTTTCTAATATTTTGATTTTTTTTTTGACTGCTATCAAGCATTGAAGCTGATTGATTAATGAAAACAGCATTATTGTATTATTATGCTGAAAATAGCACTATTTTGTTTGTGATGTTAGGGTACATTTTCCATGTGTGTTGGTTTATGTTTATCTACAATGAATTCCATCTGATATTTTACTGCTCACTGTGTCTTGCTAGTTGTCTTCATTTCTTCTCAGACACTCCACACCTTTAGAACCAAGTAATTCCGTTTGATCAGTAAGCTTTGACGCCTTACTGCTCATTCCCTTTTCTAGGTTATTGCTGAGTATGTTGAACAGCACAAACTCCTGTAGAACTCCATTGGTTGCCTTCCTCAGATACAAGAAACTTGCATTTACTACTGCCCTCTGTTTTGTATTTTTTACCCTCTGTTTCACATTATTTATTCTATGCAAAAGCCTTCTCTCTTATGCTGCGGCTACTTAGTTTCCTCAAAATCCTTTGAGGACAGAACTTGTCAATGGCTTTTTGGAAATCTAAGTAGAATATGTCAACCAGATATCCCTTATTCATGTGATTATTAAGTCACCTTTGGAACTCTAGAAAAGGTTTGTAATGCATGGTGTACATTCATAGAAAACATTTTCATTCAGAATGTTGTATTTATCTTTATGGGCATTAGTTATGTTTTTCGTTATGGTTTCTACTATTTTCTGTAGTATAGGTGTTAAACACACTGATATATATGAATAGTTCTTGAATCCCATATTAAAAATTTGGCATTATGTTTATTACCATCACATCCACAGATACTAAGGTAGTTTTAAGCACTTAAGTGCTAACGTATTTCATCCTTGAGATCCTTTAGAGCTCTTGGATGATTCATTATTTTCACTGATGTCTTGGGAGACACAGACTGAGACTTTGAATAGGAGCTTTTCTATTCTATGTGCTTATTAATCCTGAAATCAGAGCCTTTCAGTGTTGCAGAAGAGAAGTCTTCAAAAGTTGAATGCTGGTTTTGATTCTTTACATATGCCTATAATTGCATCTAGTTTGCATCCTTTTACTTCCTCATTGCACGTCATACACTGAGACTACAATTTGACTGCTATTGTTTAAGTCCAAACCATCGATTTCAAGGTTGGTTACAAAACCTGATAATCTTTTGACACTGAAATGGACTGAAAAGCTCTTGTTTCCTTCCTTACTGTAAGAAGTTCTGTGCAGGATTCTTTTGTTTGGTTGTTTGATTGGCTTTTGTTTGTAGTTTTGACTAACCTTGTTACCTAAAATATCTAAACATAATTTAATTTTTGGATATGTTTAATTTACAAAAGTAGAGTACTGAAGCAATATGTCTAAAATGTTTTAAAAAAATCTAACTCTTCCTCTGGATACTTCTTTACAGGAAAGATTGATGAAGATGCTGTTAAGAAATATGCCTACCTAAATATTGTGGGAATGGTTGGATCCATAGACAATGACTTCTGTGGCACTGATATGACCATAGGTACTGACTCAGCCTTGCACAGAATCATTGAAGTTGTGGATGCCATCATGACCACTGCTCAAAGGTAAATTGTGCACATTTTAGAAAACTGTAACAAATACACTATTGTTTATGTTTGAAATCTTAAGTTTCTTATTGCCGTACAATAGTGGAAGATATAAGTTAATTTTAAATAGAAGTTAGGTATTTGTGATACTTCTAGAATGAGAATAAATGCTTTTTTTGGCTGCATCTTTCAAGTGTCTTAGTATGGTTTTTTTCTTAGTAACTGCTTTTCCATCATTCCTGTCATGGTAGCACTTCAAGCATCTGATTGTAGAGGCTGCATCAGCTTTATGGGCAGGCTTTGACTTTCTAATATGTTTTAGTCTTTCCCAGACATACTCTTCTAGAGAAGATCCAGATACACTTTGAATAGTACAAAGTAGCATCTGCTTGTATATAAGCTTTCCTTAGATAAAATTTAAGCAATTAAATTATTTTTAAATTATTTTTTTAATACAGCTTTATCATTACAGTTCTTAACTGTGGGTCTGTATCATTTCCATTTCTAGTAGATATTCACCTATTCTCCCCTAACTGCCCTTACATATTTTAGAAGAAAATAATAATGAAAATGAATTAGGTATTGCAAGATATGTAATTTTATATATGTTGCTTAATATTTTGTTAATGAAATCTGTGTTAGGTAAGCATGGAGAACACCGGCTATTTCCGGATATTAAGTTCTGATTTCAAGAATTTGGACTGGACTTTTGAGTATTAATTTGTTTCTTACATTTACAGTCATCAGAGGACATTTGTTCTGGAGGTTATGGGGAGACACTGTGGGTATGTATCGTCTTCAGCAGTTTGTGTCTCAAACAGATAAATTATGAAAGATTAAGAAATCTGTATCATAAACGTCTAATCATTTGTTATGTTTATTAGGTATCTAGCTCTTGTTAGTGCCTTAGCCTGTGGTGCAGACTGGGTATTTATTCCTGAATACCCACCAGAAGAAGGATGGGAAGATTCAATGTGTGTTAAGCTTTCAGAGGTAATCTATTACTATGTTTGGGATTTCGTTATGTCTTAGCATATGTTTGAAAACAGTGGTTTGAACACGTGATCAGAACTTTCAGCAAGTCTTTGCTTCTGGTGTCACAGACAGTGCTATTTGATTTTAAACAGTTCTTTTCTTGCATTCTGCGATTGTTTCGAAGAATTCTATCACTTGCTCTAGGGCTCACTTAAAACTGTTCCTATATAAGCAGTGCGTGTACCTTTCCTCATTAATTTGATATAAGACATTTCACTTCATCAATGAAAAGACCTGTATGAAGATGAAATGTGTGAGAACTCTGAAGTGATCAAGTATAAGAAATATTTCCTCAAATCCTAGCAGCTTAATATATCTCAATTGATTATAAATTTGTGCTGTAAATTTCTTTCAATTTTTCTTATTACTTGTATGTGCTTTTATTTTTGTTATAGAATCGTGCACGAAAGAAAAGGCTGAATATTATTATTGTAGCTGAAGGAGCTATTGATTGCCACAACAAACCTATAACGTCAGAGAAGGTTAAGGATGTAAGTGTCAACAACCTTATGATGCACTTTGTGTTTTGTTCTTAAGATTGTGCTTGTTGCTATCAGTAACACTTCTGTAAATCTGTTGCTGTAAAGCAGTTTATCACACAGCTTGCTAGTTGTATTTTATATTTGTGCATTATTATCTGAGTCCACTTGAGGGAGAATTATTTCAGTGACTGTTAATTAGAACCTTTTCTCCTTGGAAAATAAGATGACAATCCAAAACACCTATTTCATAGGTAGAGAGTCTGAAATCAGATCAAATCGGTAATTATAAGCCTATTTTACTTTATATTTCTTGTAAAATTTTAATAATAGTCTGTCTCACAGTGATGTAATACTGTCTACTTTGGACAAAGTTTTGTCACTTTTTTTCTAAACGGTTGCTTTGCCAAAAACTTCATTGGTGTCGAAGATTAAGAAAAGCTTTCAAGCTGAAAATATTCTCCTTTTCTTGGAAAGGGTTCCTTAAAAAAAAAAAAGTTGAAAAATAGTCGTTGGCAGGAAGGAGCTATAACATTTCGACTTTACCTGTGGTTTATCTGTGACTATGAAGTTTTGTTTTCCCCAGCTGTCAGTTTGACAGTGGTCTTTGACTCTTAATTCAGAATTGCAGTTTTACTTTGTAAAATTTAGCACCACATGGTGTTAAGTGTATGTACAGCAGCTATTATGCATTTATGGAAGAAACGTTACTTGCTTGCTACAAATTTCAGCCAGTTAAAACATTCAAAAACTATAAATACCAGGGACAGAAGATTTTGTAAAAACTAAAGTTTTATAAACACTAAGATCATTTATTTTTCCCCCTGCTTTGTGGGTATCCATACCGAGCAATGGTATCCATTCCTTATTCATAACTTTGTGTTCACTGAAATTGTATAAATAAAATATGTCATTCTGTATCTTTAGATTTGATATTTAGTGGAGGAAATTGAAAGAATAACTATTCCATGCAGTTATTATTATAATAATTTTTGTTGCAAGTTTTAAAAGCCTTGACAAGGATAAAAGTCATCCTCACTAAAGTTTTGGTCAGAATCTTTTGGAGTGTGTAGTCTTGCACGTTGATGAAACATGGAGTGAATGAAACACTGCAGCTGAACTTCTTTCAAGTATTCTAATTATAAGGTTTAGACCTGTTTTTATAAGGCTGAGGACAGTGTGTAATGAACCCAATATAACTGCAGTTAAAGCATTGCAATCTAAGTCACTGTTTTGCCATTAATAACTAGAATGTTCCTTTAAATTATGAACCTGGAGTTTAGGTTTTGAATAAACTAAAGACTGGCTTAGCTTTTGTAGTCTTTTCATTAGTGTCGACATACTAATGTATAGTATTTGTAGAATTTTATTATTCCAATAGCATGTAAATCAGAGTAACGCTAACACGCGTATATAAAATAATGATGCTAATATAACCGCTGTGTTTTGAAATTCTTTGCAGCTTGTGGTTCAGCGGCTGGGTTTTGACACCCGGGTAACTATCTTGGGTCATGTGCAAAGAGGTGGAACGCCTTCAGCTTTTGACAGAATTTTGGTGAGTGAACCTAAAGTAACTTGGGGCACCCCACGGTAAAGTATCTTCTGATTATTTATTTGGGGGTTGGGTAGTTCTTTACCTGATTAACTTGACAAGTCCAATTATTATCTCCCACTGTCTGAATAGTTCAAATTCGGAATAGTGAAGGACGTTGTGTAAAGGAATCTATGTTAGGAATAACAAGCAAAGCTGCAAGATCAATCATACTACTTAAGAGTATTAAACAGCCTGTGACATTTCCACCTACCAAGGAATAATTGGTTTTAGCTTGATTTGCAGAGAAATTGTGGCCATTTCTGTAACTGGGAGCCTTATGCTTTTAAGTGCTTGCTTGAACACTCAAACATTTTGTGTTTCCAGGCAAGTCGTATGGGTGTGGAAGCTGTGCTTGCCCTTTTAGAAGCTACTCCAGCTACCCCTGCCTGTGTCGTGTCCCTGTCTGGAAACCAGGCTGTCCGCCTGCCTCTGATGGAGTGTGTGCAGATGGTGAGTTTGGCAAAATGCCAGCTTACAGTTATTCATTAACTACAGCAGACCACTGTGTAGAATAATTATCTGTTCTTATTAAAACACTGATGGGAATGCATGCAGCAATTTCCCACATTTGGGAATAATGAACTACACGTGTGTTCTTTATGTGTTGTTATTTATTCGCAAACTACCAAAACCCAAGAAATAATTATATTTTTATTTTAAAATTCATCTCATATCTTTTGTTCTTTTTGTTGCAACAACAAATTCTTCAGATGCTTGCATACATCTACGTGCCATTCACAACAGTCAGGTTTCTGCAATAACACTGTTCAGCTGAAACAGAAAAAAGGAAGGGCAAAATAGATACTTTGTTTGTTTTCCCAGGAAGGCTTTAGTAGTCTGCTTCTACTTTGTTGTTTTCCTGTCCACTGTAATTCATGCAATGATAAGAAGTAGCTCAGAAACTAATGAAATGTCAATATTTCTTTTTTCACTTTGGAAAGCTATTTCAGAATGATCTTTTTCCTGGAATATATTAAATAACCAAATTCCTGTGTTTTTTAAACATATTGAGTAATCAACTTGTTTTTTCAAGACTCAAGAAGTCCAGAAAGCCATGGATGAGGGAAGATTCGTTGAAGCTGTGAGGCTTCGTGGAAGGTATGGCCAATAGCTTGTATCCATTTACTTGCTTTAGAAAAGTTAAATTGCCTTGTGCTTCTGCAGGCACTTGACATTTTATTTAAAATAATGTAATATCTATATGGGTTTATGTATTTGAGAGTAATAGAAGAGGCAGAAGAAGAGTTGCTTAATAGAATAATTGAAATCCTTATTCACATAAAAACATGTGGAACAAAACTGTAGTTCATTGCTGTGTCAGGCTGGTGACTGCTACTGGGATACCTAGTCACAGAGAGTTGCTGTGCTGTTGAGCTGACTGGTAGTAACCACATGTTTGTTTGTTAAAGAGTTTTAAGGCCACTCCTGTGAGTGAGTTTGTAGGTAGCTGGTAGTTTTCCAACGATCATATTGGAGGGAGGTATTATACACTCTTAAGTGTCAACAGAGCACGTTCTGTTTCAAGTCATTTGATAATAAAATGTGTTATCACCAATCCATAAAATTCACCTGCCAGTTATATAATTATTTTATACTTTTTTCACTGTTATCTTACAGGTTTGAGTATTTTCCAGTGTTCACTCATTTCTAGTTTTTGTTGTGTTTTGCATTTGTAGTAACTTTGTTCCAAACATTACATACCTGTTTCTGAAAAAGTCAAGTGCTTCCTTAAAATAAGTATGAGTTGTAAAATTTACTGTTCTGTTTATCTTATCTATTTTATCTTATTTAGGAGCTTTGAAAACAACCTTAACACCTACAAATTACTGTCGCACAAAAGACCAGATGCCGAGCTTCCAAAGGTAAGGGTTGTTTTTTTTGCATGTGTGATGTGTATCTGCTTTTGGAGTACCTTAATAGTGTTTTTATTATGCTCCTCTCCTCATTCTGCCTTAATATGCCACAGGATATTTTATAAAATTAGGTAAATATTATAATGGCAGAAAGATGCTTGCAACACGCAACTTTATTCTAAAAATAGATAACATTTTTTTGAAGTTAAATACCATTCTAAATAGAAAATTTTGTGCTGGACAATTTTTTTTCTGTCTTAGATATGTGTCTGGTCCCAATTGCTCTAGTGTTTGTTCCTAATAGTTACTGTTATGCCCTCTGTTCCTTAACATGGAGAGAAGGAAAGGTGATGTAATCATGATGAAGAGTCTAAAAATCTAGAGATAAAGAAGGAAGATTCAATATAAAAGACCTGTAGCTCTTCCTTTTGAAGGGCAAAACTGCTCAAGAACAGGCTTAAATCCAGGAATTCATGGGATGGGATAGTGAAGACAGATCCATCACGTTTACCTGATCTAATAAGTCATTGTGCATAATGCAATGGTGGGCATTTAGTTCTTCTTTGTAGTTTGTAAGTTGTATATAAGGAAATTTGGATTTATTAGGAAGTAGATACTAAATGTTGTGTGCAAATAAATTTCAGACAGGATTTTTTTGTTTTCATTAATGGTTTACTGAATGATTCTGGGTTTGACCGTAGTTGGTGAGTATATCATCTCGCAGGCTAATTCCTTTCTTAGTTGTGGCTTGTGATTGATGATTTGTTACCCTGTTGGCATGATTATGTTACTTCTACGGTTTTTGGATTTTTTTTTTTATTCCAATTAAATATTTGAGTAATGATTAATAGTGGCTTCTCAATATTATTAGAGAAAAATTGCATTGAAAATAGGAAAAGTTAATTTGAATAGCTGATATCTGTTTGGAAATTCTGCGGGAAACAAGTAACATAATCATAGCTTGCCATTTTAGTTGACGAAAATCACTGTGTAATGTGTCATGGAAAACTTCACAGAGTAAAGGAAACTTGGTTACAAATAAAAAGTTGTAGTAGAAGCTTTCCAGTAGACTACAATAAAATAATTCTAGTTTAAATTATGCTTTTGCTTTTGCCTAAACATAAGTAAAAATAAGTATGTAGACCAAAGTTATTTCAAATATATCTGCCAAAAAGGTAATTTAAAAAAAAAAAAAGGGCCTAATTTCTACCTTCAAGAGATCAAAGAATTCAGTATTTTTTTGCCGGATGTTCAATATTTGCTTTGCCAGGTCAGGTGTGTGTGTGTGGTTTTTTTTTGTATATACCAATGCAAATTTAGTTTTGTTAGCATTGGGCTCTTGTATTTTGTCTTAAAATAGTTTTGCTGTAGCTTTTTGTGATGGATGACATTAGAAGGAAATGTAGCTCTCTTGTATTTATTAACTACTTGGATTTGACCTCACTAGTTAAATCTGTGCTTCAGTAAAATGGGTTGGATGGGAATTAAAAAGTAGATGAAATGTGCATGTCAGAGGAATTGAGCAAAAGGGTAAGCTGATCAGATCACTAGAGCCCACTGAATGTTCTGCTTTGGCAGTGTTGCTGCACGCAGATATTTTGCAGCTTGTGTTGTCTTTGCATTTCTGCAATCCTTTGATTATGCCAGAGCTAAAAAAAAAAAAAAACAAACCCCGCACATTCTGGTTTGAATCCTTTTTTTCTTTTTTTTTTTTTTTTGATTGGAATTAATTCTATGATCATTACCTAATGACTGTTCTGATTTGTTTGTTTTGTATTCCCATCTTCCAGGATAAAGCTAAAAACTTCTAGCTCTTCTGTAGTACCAAATTGTTACAATTCTGTCATGTCAATAGTTATAAACAATTTAAGGTCATCCAGCTGATCTGAAGCATGATGAGTTTTAGTGTATAAGCTAAGGCTGTCACATTTTGTTGCATTTTGCTTACATAGTTGCTATAATTTAAATTCTGGTTGCTAAATTCATACAGAGTGGTAAAACTTTCCCAAAGGTCAGGCATGTAAAGTTTTAATTCTTTACTTATATTTTGCTCTATTAATTTCAAAGCTGTAAAGATAAAACAAAATGAATAAATTGCAGTGCTGCCTTCATGTTTTGGTAATGAATTATATTTTTATCTGTTGTAAATCAACACTTACTGATGTCAGTGAAACTGTATTGATTTGTAATAGCTGATCATTTCTTAATCAAAGGCAGTGGCCTCTGATTTATCTGGAAATAAGCTTTCCATTTCAAGGAATACTTCATGTACAGAAGTACAGAAGTACTTCACGCTTCATGTACAGAAGTATTTCACGCTTTGCAGTTAAAATTTCATCCAAAGATGCTTACTAGCATTTCATATACAGTAGCATTCTTGCTTTGTTTACCCTACAGTGCACACTTGTGAGCAATTTTTCTGTTAAATTTTTCATTTTAATGCAAGTATTGAAGTTTTTCCTCTGGGGAAGAATCCATGATCCTGAATAATACCGGATTTATCAATATAAAGTAGTAATTCCACTGAAGAAAGCATTCTTAATTTGAATGCTTGTGGTTTTAGAGTTGAGTCTGTTATAACAGGACAGAAGTTTTCAGTAGTAGTTTGTAGCTAGATTGTGTGGTTTTGGCCACTTGCATTGTTCAATCTGTAGTGCTTATATCCATTTAGATGTAGTTGTTTTATCTAGAGTACAATTGATAACAAAGCAATATAAAGGGGGAGTAAATGCATAGGTATGGAATACACATCATATAACAAAATACTTACTATTTCATGTTATTTTTTGAACAGAACCTTACCTATTACATTGCCTGTGATTTAAATTACAGATGTATATTTTTTTATCTCAGACTTTTCCATTTGAATAGATTAGCCAGTTACCTGGGATACTCATTGAGCTTGGGGAGACACTGTATATAAGCACAGTTACTTGGAGTTGTTAGGAGATGCTTTAAAAAATGCCATTATCTGAAAATGTGTGGTATTGTGAAAGACGCTGAGTGCTCCCATTTACTACTATATTATGAGCTGCTCTAAAAATCTGGCCCATACATTCATTTAAAAGTTATCACCTGTTCCACTTTGCATGGTACTGATGATATGCAATTAACTGCTGTGGCGCTAGATTCAGTTCCTACTCTTTTCTTGGCTATTCTGGCTTTTTTTGCAAAAAACTACTGTTTTGTTAACATGAAACTGGTTGAATAATGCAGGGTATTTTACGTTTCCTTATCGTAGCTGAGCTAGAATATAAAAACCTGAATAACAGCCTGCAAACCAAATGAAAATGTGATAATCTTATTTAAAATTATTAGGGTTTTTTTTAAACTGTTTGTTTTTACATGATATTCTGCAAATGGGAAAACACGTATGTATCTTCTAGTTAACTTTAAATTTTGGATGGCTTTAGGGGTTTGAAATCTCCTTTCCTATATTCCAGTATTTAGCAACTGTGTATGATGGGCAAATTAGCTTGGTGTAGAAATTAAAGTGCTTATTAAATATTATTTTTCTCTTGCAGACTAATTTTAATGTGGCAGTTTTAAATGTTGGTGCCCCTGCAGCTGGAATGAATGCTGCAGTGAGGGCTGCAGTGAGAGTTGGCATCACTGAAGGCCATAAAATGTTTGCTGTCATTGATGGATTTGAAGGTTTTGCCAGAGGGAAGGTCAGTATTACATGTGTGCGTTACAAAGTAGTGTGTACCCCATCCCATCCCACCACCTTTGTTTATATTCTTCAAAGGTATGTTGTGTCATAACTGTTGTGTCATAACTGATTCTGTAAGTTTTTTTTTATTTCATAAAGAGATACAAAACCCAAATTGTAACAGTATTTCTCAATTATTCAAGTCTGTAGGCTAATTCAAGTATCGCTAATCACATGCTGCAGAGTTACAAAGCTCATTCAGATGAATTTCAGATTTTGGTCAGTGTTTAGCTGATGGTGGTGGGTTTTCCACAGAATGACAGAAGTCACCGTTCTAGTTCTGTGCGATGAGTTGTTGCATCTGTGCTCCTTTGCTATAAGAAACTTGGCAGTGGTGCTTGTTGAGGAAGGAAGCTTTATCATAAGATAATAAGACCTTATAAGAAATAAGATCATGATATGAAACAAGGAGGGGGGAGGGTTTATTATGATCTGGAGGAAGAATGAACAAATAGAATGGAAAGGGATTGGTGAGAATTCAAGAGTTAACCTCTTGATGCTGTTTTCTTCCCTTGCCAAGTTCATTTTTGGTGCTGTCTGTTTCCCAACAACTTGTTCCAATAGCTTTACGTGGGTAATATCTGATGTTACTGCATGTCAAGAAGTAATTGGATAATTACTTAACAGAATCTCCTTTTTCACTTTTATTCAAAGATAAAGGAGATCAGCTGGGGAGATGTTGGAGGCTGGACTGGTCAAGGAGGGTCAATTCTTGGTACAAAACGGTAATGTCAGTATTTTGCCAATTGATGCGATGAATTCTAGTATTTTATATAACAAGTGTGTGATTCCATGCTCTCTTACATCTGCAGAATGTTTTAAGTCTTCAATTTTTTTTTTAAATCATTATGTTCCAAACTGAGTATTTTTATAGTACTGTACCAGCTGAAGAGAGACTGAAAATGTGAGTCAGGACCTCAATTTAAAAATTTCCTGGAGTCCTTACACTTAAAAGGATTGCAGACCTGTAGTTTCTTTACAGTTGACATGATTCCTTACTGTTTGTTAGGAAGAACTATTTGTATGGATAAATATGTAAAACAAAAAATACTGCCTTGCCTCCTCAGTTTACTTTGTCATCTTAGTTATTCTTACTGCTGCAGAGTCTATAAATTGTTTTTATTTTTCTTTTGGTTTAATAATTTTTAGTACTCTTCCTGCAAAATATTTGGAGAAGATTGCTGACCAGATGCGCACTAACAACATTAACGCCCTTATGGTTATTGGTGGATTTGAGGTACACTGAAATGTCTAATTGTGTCTATGTAGAGTAGAATTCCCAACAAAAGGAATAGACTGTTTTAATTTTTACTCAATCTTCATGTAAAGTGCATTTGGTTATAACTATATTTGATACACAACACAGTGTTTAGGATCAGAAGTATTGTCAGTCACTGATTCTGCAGAAAGCTGATGTTCAAGACAGCGACTAGTACCTGCAAAACAGCATGTACTAGATGGATAAATAGGGTAAGATAGCATTATAGTAATTTTTAATCTTTTTTTAAATGCAAAAATAATTACTTCAGGAGTGCAAGTTCCACTCTATACCGTGTCAATACTTAGAATATATTTCCAGAAGTTCTTGATGTTTAGTAGTAATTGTTCTGTGGTCCTTTATTTAAGCCACTTTTTCTCACATAGTGCATTTCAAAATCCGTAATTTATCTAGAGAAGTATTTTCTCTTTTTTCTGAATTTCACGTTCGCTTCATTTTACCAGAATAATAAATTTTTGAAGTCTTGATTCAGTAAAGTATTTTGCTAGCTATTTCCAGAGAAGAACATGCTGATGGCTTTTTGAGAAGGAATGAATCATCCAGTTTTTTGAACCTGTCAAATATGGACTTAGTTCAGGAATATTAAGATTTTAAATGAGGATTACCCATACCTGAAGATTGGGAAACTAGTTTGCAGTATGTTTGTGTTGTACAGAGCACTTTGTTATGTCTAAGTTATGTATTCCCTTGAAAATTAGTGTTCTGTTTATTGTTTGTTTTTCAAATTTATACCTGGTTTTAATGCTTTCTCTTTTTTGTGTGTATTAGATTTTAGTGGTTCCTTAATGCTGTGACTTGCTGAAGTGTGATGTCGTAGAAATGGCTCCCCCTGTGGCCCTTTCCATTTTATCATTCCAATTTTGTCCTTACTTCATTAATCCTAATTTTTCACTCAATGCCTGTGCCCAACAGGCGTACCTCGGACTTCTGGAATTGTCAGCTGCCCGAGAGAAATATGATGAATTCTGTGTTCCAATGGTTATGGTTCCTGCAACTGTATCCAACAATGTACCGGGTTCAGATTTCAGCATTGGTGCAGATACTGCTCTGAACACTATAACTGATGTAAGTCTATTCTGTGTGTGCGCTTACTAACAAAGCAGTTCTGGTTAAAACTGACAAAATTGGCTAGAACTGGATATTTTTATAGACCAGAACTTTGGAACTAATCTGGAAAATGATATAGTTACTATGATGTAGCCACGTTCATGATACCTATTTAAAAAAGGTGGTTTAGGATCCCAGATGCTTTCATTAGGTTTCCTCTGAAATTGCAATGACATTTAAATTTGCAAACTGAAAAATAAGATGACATATATCTATTGTATATGAAAGAAAGAAACCTAAAAAAACCTGGTGGTCATTTGGTGCACTGTAGAGGGAAAAAAATCAGTATTATATGGAGAGTATGGATATACCTAGTGTAACAAACACTGAGTGAATGTTGTTCTGTTCAGAAAGAGATCCTTGTTCATGTAACATCTTTATTATTCTAATAGAAACCCATATTTCTCTAACAGGGATTACATGAATTCTACAAATAACAGATTTAAGTAAAACAGTTGAGATGTTATGAAGTATCTTAAAATAAAATCCAGTAACATGATATAAATTAAAAATGGATTGATTAATACTAAACCCGAAGAGAAAGCATTGTCAAACACCGTACAAATTAAATTGTCAGCCATGTGCATTTACAGTTCATCTGAATCACTTAAGAAGCATTAATCCATCACACTTCTAAGAAGATTTGTTTCTATATATTCTGATGTAATTTTGTCTCTGAAACAATAGCAGTAATATTACCCTTCCTTCAATTTTTTTTTCTTTTCAGCATAATCTGTGGACACATATATATTGCAAATACAGTTGCAGTGTCCACAGTTTGTTGGAAACATGGGGAAGACCTAAGGCATTTGTATTCAAAATTGAATTTGCATTTTCACTTAAAAAGAAGAAAAAGAAATATTTCATAACTTAGTGAATTACAATGAATTACCATATTATATTACAAGTTCCACTGTTACCTGAAGATTGGGAAACTAGTTTGCAGTATGTTTGTGTTGTACAGAGCACTTTGTTATGTCTAAGTTATGTATTCCCTTGAAAATTAGTGTTCTGTTTATTGTTTGTTTTTCAAATTTATACCTGGTTTTAATGCTTTCTCTTTTTTGTGTGTATTAGATTTTAGTGGTTCCTTAATGCTGTGACTTGCTGAAGTGTGATGTCGTAGAAATGGCTCCCCCTGTGGCCCTTTCCATTTTATCATTCCAATTTTGTCCTTACTTCATTAATCCTAATTTTTCACTCAATGCCTGTGCCCAACAGGCGTACCTCGGACTTCTGGAATTGTCAGCTGCCCGAGAGAAATATGATGAATTCTGTGTTCCAATGGTTATGGTTCCTGCAACTGTATCCAACAATGTACCGGGTTCAGATTTCAGCATTGGTGCAGATACTGCTCTGAACACTATAACTGATGTAAGTCTATTCTGTGTGTGCGCTTACTAACAAAGCAGTTCTGGTTAAAACTGACAAAATTGGCTAGAACTGGATATTTTTATAGACCAGAACTTTGGAACTAATCTGGAAAATGATATAGTTACTATGATGTAGCCACGTTCATGATACCTATTTAAAAAAGGTGGTTTAGGATCCCAGATGCTTTCATTAGGTTTCCTCTGAAATTGCAATGACATTTAAATTTGCAAACTGAAAAATAAGATGACATATATCTATTGTATATGAAAGAAAGAAACCTAAAAAAACCTGGTGGTCATTTGGTGCACTGTAGAGGGAAAAAAATCAGTATTATATGGAGAGTATGGATATACCTAGTGTAACAAACACTGAGTGAATGTTGTTCTGTTCAGAAAGAGATCCTTGTTCATGTAACATCTTTATTATTCTAATAGAAACCCATATTTCTCTAACAGGGATTACATGAATTCTACAAATAACAGATTTAAGTAAAACAGTTGAGATGTTATGAAGTATCTTAAAATAAAATCCAGTAACATGATATAAATTAAAAATGGATTGATTAATACTAAACTGGGAGAGAAAGCATTGTCAAACACCATACAAATTAAATTGTCAGCCATGTGCATTTACAGTTCATCTGAATCACTTAAGAAGCATTAATCCATTACACTTCTAAGAAGATTTGTTTCTATATATTCTGATGTAATTTTGTCTCTGAAACAATAGCAGTAATATTACCCTTCCTTCAATTTTTTTTTCTTTTCAGCATAATCTGTGGACACATATATATTGCAAATACAGTTGCAGTGTCCACAGTTTGTTGGAAACATGGGGAAGACCTAAGGCATTTGTATTCAAAATTGAAGTTTGTTGGAAACATGGCAAAGACCTAAGGCATTTGTATTCAAAATTGAATTTGCATTTTCACTTAAAAAGAAGAAAAAGAAATATTTCATAACTTAGTGAATTACAATGAATTACCATATTATATTACAAGTTCCACTGTCTGATTTTTGTCTTCAGCCATGTTTGAGTCAGAATGTAGAATTTTTCACCAATTGTACATGTTGAACTACATTTTAAAAAGTTAAAAATAACAAGCATAGCACTCATGTAAAGCGGGAAAAGAATTTCAAATTGCTTTTGAAAAATAAATGTCAGTGCTTCTATCACTTAGATGTATTTGAAGATTTTAATCATGGTACTATTTTCAGAAATTTGAAGGATTCCTCAAATTCTATCAAGTTCAAAAGCACTAATGTAATTTTCACCTGGTTTGCTTCTGGTTTTTTTACCATGTCAACATAAATATTTTTATCTTCAGCGAAATGAACCCTTCAGTTAGGAAACTTCTGTTTCCTGAACTGTTGCCTTGAATAATAGTGTAAGCTAACTGAAATTTATCTTGAACGTATTCTTTATAGACAGGTTAGGTTATAAGGGTTGATGTTGTTCCCAGTTCTGGTAAATAAAAATATCACTCCAAAATGATTGATCACAATTTAAGGTGAGTAAAATGATTGTGCATAACATCTGCTTTTCTTCTTTTCTTTTCTTCATAAGCTTTGTTTACCTAACTGACTTCTTTGTATAGGTTATTTCATGTAAGGGGGTATATTGTAGTCAGTAAGTCTGTCTCTCCTTGTTGCTGTGTTTTGCTTTATTTTTAGGTTTCTAGATGTCATCTGCCTTCAATAGATAATAAAATGTCAGTATCTCCAGATTTTTAATGCACTCATTGAAAACTTTTCAAAAAGATTTTTTTTTTTTTTTACTAATGGCTTCCATCTTGGTTTTGCATTTTATTTTGCTGAGATTTTTCTCTGAAATGCATATGAAATATCATGGCTTTGCAGGATTTAGATTCAATCCAATGGGAAATTAAATTTTGTTCTTTTTTTTGGGGAAGGAGCAGACTTTCATGTTGGAGCAACATTTCTGCTTGGTTTCATTTTAGTTTTCTGCTCTGATTGTTTGAACATGATTCACTAAAACTGATAATGAAAAATGGATTCTTTCATTTCTGTGTTGTATGTTCCGATCGGGATCAATAGCGATGATACCCTCTATTAAATGTAACTACAAAAGTCATACAACTGACTGTGGTAAACAAAAGTAGCAGATGGACATGGATGTCCATTATATTTAGTTTATAGCATCCTTATTGCTATAGGTCAATAAATGCATCATAGTTTTCATTGCTGTGAGATTAGTACCTCCAATGAACACCTAAAATGTCATCATGCTTAGTTTTTCTGTGACACTGTTCTATGTTCTTGACAACTTCTAGTAAGGTAAGTACATTTCTGCTGAGTAATGAGGCCTTGTTAGTGTTTGGCATTACCAGACACTTGTCAATGTTGTTTCAATTTATCAAGGCATGTAAATGTTACCTTGAGACACTTGAGATTAAAATGTGTTAAGATGTTGCATTTAAAAAGAAAAAGCAATAAAAACCAGCCCAACAAATACACAACATCTGAAGGAGAGATTAGGCAAGAGTGTGATTTTTTTTTTTTTTTTTTTTTTTCCCCCCTAAAATCATAGGTGGTGAATGGTACATTTCTCAATAATTAGATTCTATAGCCCTCTTGAAATGCTCCATTTTTTGTTGTAAGATACAGGCTTGTAATCAGTTGAACAGTAGAATCAGGTTTGTCTTCTAAAGAGTGTTTCAAATTTCTTATGCTGTATTTTCAGTTCAGTTTTCAGAATATTAGTGAGGACAATTCTCAATGAAAAGGCCACAATATAAAATACCTGGGGAAAGCTTGAGTTTTCTGTACCTGAGAAGGGTATGCTCAAGGCCTCTATATCTAGAGAAACAAAACTAGAAATAAAAATTGCATAATAAGAACATGAATTTTGACTTTTCTGTCAAAAGAAGCATCAGTAAAATACCATAATAAAAATATCTATATTCTCAACTTCATATTGCTAATCCAGTGAAATTAATAGAATGTTATTTCAGATAGCAGACCTCTGGAATACGACAACAAAGGAAGTATTCAATTTTCTCCTACATAATGACAAGGGATAGAAATTTCTTTTTAAATGAAAGTTGGATTATTTAATAGTGATCACAAAGAGGCATTAGCAATACAGTTTGCAGGTGGAACTAAAAAGCAGAAAGCTACTCTCTAATTAAACTGAAAAAATAGAAAATTAGACTTTCAGCTACAGAACATGGAAAGGATGAAAACTTAATTTGAAAGCAAAGCCTGACAATAGGCTAGAGGAAACTGATGGAAAGATGAATAAACCAGAACAAGGTATGGAAGAATATTCATTTGATTTAGGAGATGTAGAAGTAAATTGGGAAATTAAAAGATATCAACTGAAGATAGAGAAAAACAGAACATGAAAAATGAAGATGATGAAACTCCATAATGTGTTTCTTTGAGAATCTCCCTTTTCCTTTCATCAAAGGGAGAGGGATTACAGGGTGATGGTGGATTTTGTGAGAAAAGGAATAGCAAACAGCCACAAGAAAACCCTTTCTCACCGAGGAGCAAATAAAGTTACGGTTGGGTTGCTGTAATGCAGTCGCCTTGCAGTTTCCTTGAAAAGCAGACTCCTGTACCTTCCCAGAGCTGGTACTAGCGTATGTGCCTCCACAGTAGCCTGTTAGGAAGATTAAAATGAGCCTGGCCAAGCTAGCTAACTGATTCAATATCATCCAGTTCAGTCCTAGCTACAGCTGGATGTGGAGCTAGGGCAGGAAATGCATCCCTTTCAATGGCCATTTGCATTTAGTTCAACATAAAGTTAACAAACCACAGTATTGCTTAACTGCATGTATTTTTATTAAGCGTCCTTGATTTTTGCAATACCCTTTTTAATGACACAAATATAATAAAACGGTGTGAAGTGATTAAATCATTTTATTGACATAGTACAGTATCCCTGTATGATCTTATTGTGGTACTTATTTTTTAGAAAATATTGTAATCAGTTATTAAATCCACCAATCACTTGTTTACCCTTTTATAAGTATTAAGTGACCCCTTATTGAAAGTATTTTCATATTTTGCTACAGTGATGCGAAGATGTTGCATATGATTATCTAATGCTCATGCTTGGTGAAGGTACAGTCTTTGGATATGTTTGCTGAAATCACTTGCATCAAATAAAATGGCAATATTTAATGCAAGTAAAACATATCTTAACTTTGTCTTAACATACCATAAATGCAGACTAACCAGTTGTGTTAGTTATTGCTCTAAATCTCCCTTCAACTTGGTTTCCCAAAAGTCTCAATATAAAACTTCTTAGAGAAACTTACATTTTGCAGATCTCCAGGAAGTCACATGGTTTTATCGTACCACTGTGACTCAGTGTACATCTTTATTTTTCAGTACAAATAAAAATGCAAAGCAGCCTGACTGACCTGAGTTGGGCTAGGCAATTACTGAAATTTTATCAGTGAAGTTTCATCCACTCAAAAAAAAATAAATCCATTTGTTGCTCTTCTGGCTATACTGCTTCTTAGAGCTACAGGTCTGAAAGCACAGTCTTTTAGATTGTGTTTTAGACTTAAACTGGAATAAACTGGAAGTTTGAAAGATGCACTTAATGTACCTCCTGCCATGTGTCCTGTTCTCTCACTGAACAGGATCTGCTTTATCTAGGAAAAAAAACTGTAGGGCAGAACTCTCACAGGTGAATCTTTTTCCCATCATTTTCTCCTAAGTTATTGCTTAAATCAGTCACAGTGTAGATGTTTGTGGAGATAGTTTGGTAGCTATCTGATTTTGATCTGCAATAGTTTGCTTCTCTAACTGATTTAAGAAATTGAAAAGATGAGACTTCTGTGAACGTTAGTCCTTTCTGGGAGAAAGAGATTAAGAAAAACATAACATACTATGCAATCAGGCTTTCTCATGGACTGTGGTTACATAGGCAGTTTGAAAAATTGCCAAATAACATGAGAGATACTGATCAGTTTTGAATTGGAATAATGTAACTAAAAAATACTTTACTGACTTAAAACAGCTGCAAAATCTTAACATTTAAGTATTATTTTGACATATATTAGGAACACCTAATCCTTTTCATATGGTGATTTATTTTGTAGTGTTTGGAATCTTCCCAAGGACCTCCAGCTGCTTTTCAAAGAATCTTTGAGCCCTATTTGCAAACTTTATTAACTTATCCATGTGCACGTGTTCCTGGATTTTCTGGGCCTATGTCCATTCTATGTGCAGATGTGTGATACTGGCAGAATCTTGACAGATATAGGCAAAACTTTTTTTCCTTTTTCTTGGTGGAAGTAGATGCGTGCCTTGACTTCATAGGATAACATAGTTTTTTTAAAAAAAACAGCTTGCTTTAAGCATTTCCTTCAAGTTGTAGGTGTTTTACTAGTTAACTTTCTAAACTCCTTAACATGTATCAAACTTTGGTGCTTAAGTGGTTTCTTGTGGGGTGATTTCCGATCTACCTTTATGCTGTCTTTTTCTGCCCAGCTGCTTGAGACCTCTGTGCTCTGCACAACTCTCATTCACTCTGTATTAACTCCCACTAATCTTCTGCATTTCTTCAAAGAGCATTGTGCCAATGCAACCCCAGTGCACTGTTGTGGTATGTACAGGACATTTCTCCCCTCAAATAATCTCACCAATTGTATTTACACGGGCCAGTGGACAGCCAAATTTACCATCACATGCAAGGAGTCATTAGCAGAGCAATCCAAAGCCAAGGAATGTATCACTCATACTTGTACCACTGCTTCAGGCCTATGAAAGTTGTCTGCAGCTACACGAGGCACGTTCCCGCTTTGAGGAGTTTTGTGTACCTATCTGTGTGTTGCCAGCTACTATTAGCAACAATGTGCCAGGCACAGACTTTAGCATTGGTGCTGACACTGCCTTGAATGCTATTGTGGAGGTAAGACTGCATATCTTTTAAAAGTTAAGATGATAAAGTGCATAAGATGAGGATACCTGAAGACCTTGAAATGTCTAGTTTTCTAAAACAATTCAGTTACTGTTAGTTTTTATGTTTTATGGTCAAGTTTTCCAAGACTGATGAAAGATTAACTTACTAAAAATTAATTACGTTGGGTGTTTAACTCTTGGGGCACTGTTTCATTATCCAAGACTGCTGCATTGGTGCTTAGGACAATTGATTTTACTGAAAATAAAATATTTTGCTTGCTCTAGGTTTGGTTTTTATCTTACATTGCCACTCAGCGTTATATAGATGAAAGAAGAAAGCACATAGTTTAAAAATGGGCTAATGACTGAGCTCAGTGCAGTAGAGCATTTTAAGTACATGGTTAACACTAAATACATGAATAATCCCATTGACTGCATTAGGCTTAACATATATTAAGTGCATATAAATACATGCATAGTATAAGCAGTTAAGTCTGTCAGTGATGCTAACTAAACAGAGGGCAGAACTTGCTATGAATGACTTTCCATCTCAGTCAGAACAGTCAGTTTTCTAGTTCTAGTCTGCCTTTTTCCCTTGTATAATAAATGCTGTGTGAACCCTTTAAGTTCTTTACTCTCTTACTGAGTCTGCTGGAGCTGCAGCAAAGGGAACTGAGTTGAAGTCTAACGCAAGAAGATGAGTAAACCTCTGAACAGCTGTAGGTCTTATCAAACCCCACATTATCAATCCATATAACTAATTATGAAGTAATTAGCCAAGAAAGAATAGAGATCCAGGGAGTTCAGAAATGCAAGTTTGTTTTCCTGCTCTGATACAGCGTTATTTATATAGAGTGGGTGAAAAAGCTCCAGTAGATGATTAAAAGAGCTTTGTCAGAATATATCATGGCCTGGTGTTTGGGAGCTGCGATACAGCATCCCTGAGGTGAAGATGACCTAAGATGTAGTGTGGGTAAATTGTAGATATATGTTTGTAGGCAGGATGTAGGTACTTTTACCAATCCATTAGCTGTTTCCCCCTTACCTACTTCTATAAATGTCAGGCTAAGTCTGCTAACAGTGATGCACCTGTAAAAGTGAAAACCTGAAATCACAATGGGGAAAAATAAGTGATTACATATATTGCTGCTTCCTCTTATTTCAATATTTTTATTATTAGTTTTAATTGCAATTTGTACAGCTCTCAGTAAAAAATAAAATAATAATGATTGTATCTATTGAATTTCATTATGGTTAGAATGTTTAGTTTATGCTAAAAATAGAACACTGTTGATTTGGTGAAGTTTTAAATACCGGATTTTTGATTGTTGGCTCAGTTCATATGAAAGCTCAACTAGCAATGGGATTCCAAAGAGTGCTCTGAAGAGTCACCGTGCCTCCATGTTTAACACTTCTGAAAACTGCACCAGGTGTTTAAGCTTTGGCTTTTCCAGCCTATGGAATAGTGTATGAATTAATGAATCTTTAAAATCCATCTGTGCCATTTTTGAGTATTTCTGTGCCAGTCATTCTGAGAGAGCAAGAAAGTTTCTACTGTGTTTCTTGCATAGTCGAGAATAGAAATCTTTCTAAATAAAGCTGAAGTGAGTAATCCCAAAAGCAGCTAGTGATGTCCCTGCTTAGGACTTCTCAAAAGGTAGAAAATTTCATTCTACTACCAGCAGCTGGAAAACTTTTAGAAAGCTTGGCATTCACAGACCTTTTAAGTCTCTCAAAATGAAGTAAATCTTTGTATGTGTATTCATTCAAGCCAAGATTTTTTTATATCATAGGCTAAACACATAGTATCCGCCCAGTTCCAAGTAGCTTTTTAAAAATAAGTTAAAATTGGTTCAGTGCTGCATCTGCCACTATCAAAAGTAACGGGGATTTTTTAAAAATTTGCTACTGTTTACCATATGCCAGATGCCAATATTGTGCAAAATTCTTCTGAAACCACATCTGGAAGGGGAAAGTAAATTGCTTGAGGACATTATAAAATCCCAGATAGGTAAAAGACAGTATAATTTTGAAAAAAGGATGGAATTCAACATAGGGTTTCGTGATGTAGTTTAAGGGATACTTTCTGCTTAGGATAATAGAATGTCAATCCATATTCTAAATAAATTCATGTGAATTCTGCACTTGTATGTATGTATCATGTATACATACACACACATATGCACATATATAAATAAAATACATATAAATTAAATTACATGTATCTTTTGGTAGCTGGACCTAAAGAAATGCATTCACTGTTTTTAGTCCTTCAGTTGCATTAAACTTTATGATGTCAGAAGATGTAGTACTTGAACTTCTCACATATCAATTTGTTAGTTGTTCTGCAGTCTGTTAGGTATAAAGACCACATTGCTCACAGTCTTAATTTCAGCTTGAAGTATTGTTTTCAGTTGGCTGAATGAAGGCCTGGTTGTAAATACCAGTGAAACAGAAATACCTCAAATATTACAGCATCTGCAGTTACTCAGTCAGAAAATTAGTAAGGCATGGGGATTTTTTTAACTTTATCGTAACTCAGGTTTCAAGATGACAACTTTCCCAGGTACTTTTATTTCTCATTTTTACTAAAAAGAACTAGTGCAGGGACAGTACGTCAGTTTTGCAAAATTCTTGTCACCAAGTGTAGTATAGCCTATTTATTTATTTTTAAGACAAAGGAGGAAATAGTACCTTTTTCTTTCTATTATTTGCTCTCTGAAAGGGAGATGCATTATCTGATGTTTTTAAAATTACTTTGAAGGGTAGAAGAATTCACTCGAGGAAGTAAGAGTTTGTTAAATAGCTTTTTGAGTATTTTTAAAACCTGGAGATGCATGTTAACCTGTTCCTGGTTCTACATTTTCATAAGTTTCTGTAACTTAGTTTCTAAGTTATAGAGTCTTATATCTAAGTTTTGTAGGTCCTACCACACTGGAAATTTTCTCTATTATTTTCTCTTGGGCAGCTCTAATAAATATTGGTGTTAATTGATGGCATATAAACAACAGATCACTTTAGAGAACATTTCTTATGCTGATCAGAGTAAGATGCAAGTGAAGATGGCAGTCTTTTTATAATAAGTGTGTACTTATTAATATAAAAAAACCAAAAACATTTTAAAAACCCCCACTCTGGTAGCATTTGAAAGAATTATATTTGTGTGGATATTATTATTGGAAAGTAAACAATTGGGCAACACATGCTCAGGACTTATGCTTAGAGAAACCATAATTGTTAAGTATCGTTGGGACTGCAGTGAGTTTTAAAATCAGTACCAAAAAAAGAAATAAACTCTTAAGTAATGAATAGAGTTAAAGCAAAGAAGAGAATTTACTCATACAAGAGCTGATTAAAAAGCTCCTTTATATCTATTTGTATCTCTGTTAGAAAACTATTGCAACTTTTAATTCCATACACAAACCAAAATTAATTCTTGTTTTAGTATTTGCAGGAAGCAAGTAAGTCTTAATAGCAGCAAAACATTTTATTTTGACTGTGATGGCGTTCAATGTATGATACGTAAGAATTACTTGTATCTGGTAATTAATTAAATGGGTTATGCTATGTTGGAATTTTTGAGGATATATTTTTATAAGTTCTTTAAACTCTTTTACCAATAAGTGACATAAAATTGCATGACACATAAAAATATAGAAATTAAGACTTTTAAAATTTAAACTCTAAATATCTTGTCTTTGATTAGACCTGTGATCGCATCAAACAGTCGGCCAGCGGTACCAAGCGTCGTGTGTTCATCATTGAGACCATGGGTGGTTACTGTGGTTATCTGGCCAACATGGGGGCGCTCGCGGCAGGAGCTGATGCTGCTTACATCTTTGAAGAGCAGTTTGATATTCGAGAGCTTCAGGTATACAGCATTAGAAATGTTTTCCTAATTTTTAAGTAGATCCTAAAATTGTTGTACGTATATAACAAAATGTGTATATTTGAAGTAGATAGCTCATGTTACTGAAAACCTCAAATGTTTAGATTGTATCTAAAAGCTATATCTGTCAGTAGCACTTTCATATAATGCCAGTTCTTATGCCATATTATGTAAAGGAACTTAGACCAATTGTTCTTGGCATTGGATAAAGTTAACTGAAAAAAATTATTAATCATAAAATACTACTAGGTGAATTGTTTCATTGTTATTCTTCTGACCGAAATTCAAATTGCATGTAAATGAACAGACCTGAGCAGTTTTAAAAGAAAGGGAGGAGAAAAAAAAAA